GAGGCACGCTCCCCTCTCCAGTCCTTGGCCCCCTTCTCTTACGGGGTCTCTCGTTTAGACCGCGTCGGCGCCTTTATTCGCCTGACCCTTTGCGGTGGAAAATCCGCCTGGCAGGTCATTGTCTGGTCCGCCACCGCCCCCGCCCCAATCAGTGTCACAAAACGCCCCTTTCAACAGATTCCAAACCCTCTTCACCCGGGCTCACCGAGCCTTCAACTTCATTAAGTGCGCGCTACCGCGGCGCTGGAGGAGGCGAAGTTTAAATAAACCCGAGCGCGGGGGAGGAGGGGAGGGATGCCCGTTGCAGCGGGCCCAGAGAAGTGTTTTTGAAAAGGGGGAAGAAGTCATCAAGGGGAAAGCGCTTTGTAACCACGAAGACGGTCCCGCTGTGGCGAGAACAAATTGGATGTGGAAGGGAAGTGTCCGCCCCCCACCTCCACTCCGGCTCCTGGGTGGTCCGGAGAGCCCCGGGAGAAAGAAAGGGAGATGGGGAGGAATCGGCAGCGAAAAGAATTAACCGCTTTAATTGGGGCCGCAAGAGAGGAGTGGGAAGAAGCTCATCGATGCGCCCCATCACCCAAACAAATCCTCCCTCAATGAGATAAAATAAAATAACATAAAATGTCTGCCCTTAACTGCGCCTGAAAAACGTATCTCAAAGTTTGAGGATGGGGCTGGTCTTCTAGTCCCAATAAGTAAATCTACAAGATTTTTCTGCTGGAAAGAGGCCCCCATCCTCACCCCGCCCTTCCTAGCCGCCTCCAGCCTCGGCGCTGGATGAAAAGGAATGAAATTGAACGAAATGAAGTCAAATTGACCAGTGAAATTCGCCAATTTTCTCCCCCTTTAAACTGCCCGCTCTCCGCAGCACTCTCTGAACTGGAGGCCGCTTTCGTAGTGTATATATATATTTTTTTTTTCCTCGCTTCGAAAGATGAAGGTGTGCCCTGGATATTTCCTTATTATTGTCACCGATTGATTGTTAAGGGCTGCGGGCTGGGTAGCGAGGGTCCCCACCAAAGCCACTTTGAAAATAGGATGGCCTCAGTTTCTCATCCCAGAAGACTAGCAACACTAAGTAAACCTCTTATACTGAACACACCAAACTCAACACCTGGGGTCTGAAAGGGGGTGGGGGGAACCAAGTGAACTCTAGCATATATATTTCTCAACTCCTGCATGCCGCTGATTGCTCTTCCCTGAAGTCTCCAGGTTGGGGGCTGTGGAACAGGTTTCCCTGACCTAGAACCAAACCCCAAACCCACTGCCTAGTTGATTCAGACTCATATAGGACAGAATAAAACGGCACCATGTGGTTTCCATGCCTGTAAATATTTATGGAAGCAGACTGCCACATCTTTCTCCTGCAGAAAGGCTGGTGGTTTCCAACCAAAGACCCACGGGTGCTTTAAGGGTGTGCACCCTGGGCTCTCTCCTACAGGCGGAAGGACTCCAGCACTCCAAACACTGTCTTCTCCCCTACCTCCAGCAATTCGTTTAGTATTTCTCAAGGCCAGTTGAGCATCTGTGCCTTCTCTGGTCCCCAGTGGTCAGCTGTGATTGTATCTAGCCCAGGCCTGGTCTTCTTGGTCCACCAGGAAATTGAGGTCTAGGTCATAGGCTAGGGCCCCAGGTTCCCTAGAAGCCCATGGAAGTACACGCCCACTCTTTCCCTTGAGAACAAACTTAAATAGACACCACCCCTTGCAATATACTCTGGTCAGTTCTCCCTCTCACACACACACTTTCACGGAGATAGAAAAATCCAGGATCGATAACTCCTTCTCTGATAAGTAGCCACTGGTGGACACACTAGCCACTATCAGTTATGCAGGGAGAAAGATTTACAGCCTCGGAAACCCACAGAGACAGTTCAACTCTGTCCTACAGGGTCACAAGGAGTCGAAATTGACTCCATGGCAGGAAGTTTGGTTTTGGTTTTATAAATTCTGGCCAAGTTCATTTTCTCTCTCTCTCTTCTACAGAGGAAAAACTAAGTGATAAATCTTTTACTCAAAGCTCCAACCTACTATCTGGAAGTGGCAGATTCACAGCAATTGAGATCATGTAGCTACACAGTGCTTTAGTGAGGACGCACTTTTTTGCGGTCACACTTCTTAGAGTAAAAAGAAATCAAACTCAGCACAACGAGAGTTGGGGAAGCAGCCAGCCGGAGACCATTATCCCAGTGGCATCAGCACACATTTCCCCCTTTTACCAATTAACCTACCCTTATTCATCTTGAGCCATTTGGGTTTTTTTTAAAAAAGGAGGAAGGTGGTCCACTGCTCTGGACCTTCCTCCACTCCCAATCTCTCAGCAAGATGGAGGCGAGGCCACGCGTCACCTCTTAATAGAGGGACAGCAATTACCCTCTGTTCCTTCCTTGGTAAAGGGGATTGGGAGCCTCAGTAACCCCAACAAGTCTTCCGAAGTTCTGGGGTGCTCTTTCTACTCCACTCTGACCTTCCTCCTACAGGGGCCTCTCTCCTCAGCCTCCTGCTCTCCACCTACAGTGGCGTCTCTCTGCCCACCCCTCTCAAGTCCTCTGCGGCTGAATCCTCTTGTGTCTTCTTCCCTCTTTGGCTGGCACTTGATGCCCTACACTTGCCCTCAGCATGCCTATTTTCTGTGAAACCTGACCTTCGTAGTCCTCCACTCTCCCAGTATCTGACTTGAATTGACTTGAATACACCGTGAAAAGAGCCAGGCAACTCTCTCTGCTTCACTTAAAGTATCATCATTGGGTCCGAACCCAATATGTGTACAAGTCTGGACACAGAGAGTCCCAGGCAAGGAGTGAGGAGGCTCAGGGGGGCTGATGCGGACTCCAACCAGCCCAGTAGATGTGCACTCAGGCAACAGCTTCTGGTTTATGAGTAAGGTTCAAGGGGTGGTGAGGATTAGTCCAGCAGAAGAAGCCCCATTGGCAGTGACTCTCTTGAGCTCATATTGCAATTCTCACCCTCTGGGGCTGGAGGAGAGAAAGGGTCAGAGTCCTGAGTTCAAGCTCTTCATATGTGGGGAGGGGAGGTTGTGTCAAAGAAGACCCTACATTGGCCAAACAGAAGTCTTTCTCCCTCTACAGATAGAGACATATTTACAGTCACATACAGCACATCTCCAGGAACACAATTCATACACACAAACAATAAAGACACATGATGCCCCAGACAGACGCAAACTGCAAACCTCATGAAAGTACCCCAGACACACATACACAAAGATGCATGCAAATCATGCAAAAAACAAAAGACACATTCACCTCAAATTATACTTCAACGATGATCTAGTGTCCATGGTCATCCAGCACCCAGACCTGCCTAGGCCCCCACTCAGGCCTCAGCTAGATGAGACTCCCCAGGTGCATTTGAAATAAGACCCCTCCTGGGCCAAACCCCAGGCAGAAACCTCCCTCAGAGAGAGCGAAAATGAAAGTGTTGGGATTGGGTGGGGGTGGGGTGGGAATCATAGGCTGCCCCACCCCAACCCTGACCCCATTGATGCCAGTGTCCCCGTATTTGAAAAGTTTAAACCCTCTTCTGCCTGCCTGGGCTGCCCAGAGACCCTTCCTCACTTCTTGACTGCCCAGGGCTGGGGCATTCTGGGAAAGCCTTGCAGGGACAGGGGTGCACAGGCAAGCACACAGAGCTGGTAAGTGCAGGAGGTTCACATACATTTATTCAATTGACACCAAGGAGGACTGGGTGGGTGGAGAAGACAGTTTCTTTTTCTTTTCTTTTCTTCCACATAAACCATCAGAGGATTTCACAGTGTCCCCATCGGTGGAGAAAACCTAAATCTCCGCACACCCAGTGGAGGAGAAAGCCTACAGCAGCCGCTAGACAGCTATTTACAACAGAATCACGGGCGCCCCTGCCACAGGATGTGCCCTCGCCCATCCCCCACCTGACCCAGACTCTTCTCTCCCACCCCAACCTCATTGCCTCGAACTACAATAAATATCACAGGGCCTGGGGGCAGGGGACGCTGATGGGGCTGCTGTTCTGGGTGGCTGGACCCAACCAGCTGCGGGAAAGGGGGAATGTTCCCTTAAAACGAACCCAAACACACACAAAAAGAGAACCGGCTTTCCAGGGTGGAGTGGGACTGGGAATGGTGGAGACAGTTCTCCGTTCAGCTTCGACTGTGTAGACAGTGCTTTGGGCTTCAGAAGGATGAACTTCCTTCAAGAATAAGGTGGGGGGGGGGCGGTCAGGGAGGTTTTCTTTTTTAGCATAAAGTGGATGATAGGTGTGTTTAAATTATAATATTAGACAAGCAGGGCTTCCACGCTGGAGAAGTAAGGGACAGGCAGTAGGTGTTTCTGGCGTGATCCGCAGGGCCTGGCCCGCGTCTCTCCCTAGAAAGCACTCTTCCGGACGGCCAGGAGATGCAGAGGCTGGGAAAGGCGAAAAATCCCACCCATCCCACCCTGTTACTGCTCAACTGGGACGGGGTTCTTTGCTTTCGGCCTGGTCACTTATAGCCTGGATTCCTCTCAGAGCGATGGAGCCCGCTTCTTCCCAACTCTCGGAGAGATTCGGAGCGTGGGGCCTCGCGCCTCCCGAGGTCTGGAGACTCTTCATAAATAGACTCCCTGAGATCCGCTGGGACCGCAGGAGCTCCCGGAGAGAGGCTGAGGAGTGCTGGCCTAACCGGTCCTAGGCCTGCCTCGGTCAGAAGTGGCAGCCACTGAGGCCGGCGACTTTGCTGGCAAACGGGGGCCCAGAGGACAGGAGTGCGTCCCCAGGGTGCGATAGGCGAATGTGGCCGGCCACTGGAGCCAGCGCTGGAGCAGTCAGCATGGCCAATACCTGGGCTTGACCCCCAGGGCCTGCGGCCGCTGCGAACGGTGATCCTGGGGAGCCTTCGCTGCCGCCCTGGGGTGCTGCCCCGCCGCCACCGTGGCCCATAATGTGGTCTATCGAGAAGGAAGGCCTCTGCCCGGCCCCGGTGCCCCCACCGCTCGCACCGCCGCCCACGTCTGTCTTGAGGCCCTGGCGCAGGAGTGCGGTAGACAGACCGGCCGTGGCGCCCGCTGCGGGAGGGCTCAGTGACGCGGGATAGAACGCTTTGGCACAGCCGAGCTCCGCGCCCAGGAAGGCCGGCAGGCCCGCGGGGCCCGGGCCCGGTCCAGTGCCCGGGACAGGCGCAGGAGCCGCCGCAGAGGCCGGGCTAGCGAACACCGACGCCGTCGGGGGTCCCGGTGGAGGCGCGGTGGCACGGCCTGGGGGCACCGACAGCTGGCAGGGCGCAGCCGCTGCGGCGGCGGCGAAAGCGAAGGCGTGCGGGTGCGGGTGCGG